GGTATGCAAACCCGTTGCTAACTGAATTGAAAAGTCTAAATGGGATCCTTGGGATGTCCCAACTCTGACGTCACCCCATTGAAGTTGACATTTAAAAGGGTAAAGGTTATGGTAAGGGTTATGGTTAAGGTTAGGATATGGACTTCCCAATGAACCCAGATAGCACTAACCCAAACTGCATGGTTAGAATAGCCTGCCATCTGGTGGCACACACTGCAAAATGACATGTGGAAACCAGAAAGGATCAAGTGAGGGAAAAGCCATTTCTTACACTGAGTGTAATGTGAAGTGCCTTTGAAGTGTACAATATACAGTCAGGCCAAGCTGTCCATTCTTGCTGCCCATAATGTGATAACGAGGACCCCAATGGAAATAAGTCGAAACACTTTGTGCTCTTAATCATCAATTTCTGTATGCATTGTCATACTCAATGAATGAGGCAACTTTATATGCATTTAAAATCTGTCCAATAAAAGTAATGCATTCATTCATTCAGTGCTAGTGGCATCGAAACCAGAGAAAAAACAGTTTGTTGAAAACCGTATATTTAATACAAAGGATCCATAGAAAATCCTGCATTTGTAGTGCATGTACATTACCAGTCAAAAGGTTGGACACACCTACTCAATCAAGGGTTTTTCTTTATTTTTACATTGTAGAATAATAGTGAACACATCAGAACTATGAAATAACACATATGGAATCATGTAGTAACCAAAAAAAGTGTTAAACAAGTCAAAATATATTGTATATTTGAGATTCTTCAAATAGCTACCCTTTGCCTTGATGACAGCTTTGCACACTCTTTGCATTCTCTCAACCAGCTTCATGAGATAGTCACCTGGAATGCATTTCAATTAACAGGTGTGCCTTGTTAAAAGTTAATTTGTGGAATTTATTTCCTTCTTAATACGTTTGAGCCAATCAGTTGTGTTGTGACAAGGTAGGAGGAGGGTTATACAGAAGATAGCCCTTTTGGTAAAAGACCAAGTCCATATTATGGCAAGAACAGCTCAAATAAGCAAAGAGAAACTACAGTCCATCATTACTTTAAGACATGAAGGTCAGTCAATACGGAACATTTCAATAACTTTTAAAAAGTTTCTTCAAGTGCAGTCGCAAAAACCATCAAGCGCTATGATGAAACTGCCTCTCATGAGGACCGCCACAGGAATGGAAGACCCAGAGTTATCTCTGCTGCAGAGGATAAGTTCATTAGAGTTACCAGCCTCAGAAATTGCAACCCAAATAAATGCTTCACAGAGTCCAGATTTGAGATTTTTGGTTCAAACCGTGGGTGAATGGATGATCTCCGCATGTGTAGTTCCCACCGTAAAGCATGGAGGGGGTGTTATGGTGTGGGGGTGCTATGCTGGTGACACTGTCCGTGATATATTTAGCATTCAAGGCACACTTAACCAGCATGGCACTCTGCAGCGATACGCCATCCCATCTGGTTTGGGCCTAGTGGGACTATCACTTGTTTTTCAACAGGTCAATGACCCAACACACCTCCAGGCTGTGTTAGGGCTATTTTACCAAGAAGGAGAGTGATGGAGGGCTGCATCAGATGACCTGGCCTCCACAACCCCCCGACCTCAACCCAATTGAGATGGTTAGGGATGAGTCGGACGGCAGAGTGAAGGAAAAGCAGCCAACAAGTGCTCAGCATATGTGGGAACTCCTTCAAGACTGTTGGAAAAGCATTCCAGGTGAAGCTGCTTGAGAGAATGCCAAGTACGCAAAGCTGTCATAAAGGGTGGCTATTTGAAGAATTTGTTTAACACTGTTTTGGTTACTACATGATTCCATATGTGTTATTTCATAGTTTTGATGTCTTCACTATTATTCTACAATGTAAAAAAATTGTAAAAATAAAGAAAAACCCTTGAATGAGTAGGTGTGTCCAATCTTTTGACTGGTACTGTATATCAACATGGAAAAGAACACAAGTGAAATCATGATAGCCACCTCCAAACTTTTTGGATGGACATTTTCAGAAAATAAACATTACAAACGATCCACGACTCTCAGAATTTGGTAACGGTGGAGAAGAACAATTTATAGAAAATGTGGACAAAAACAACAGATTCTCTGAAAATATTGCATCTTATCTCTTTTCTATTGATCGGTCAGGGTTTTGCTGATTTCAAAATGTTTGGACTGAGACCATGAATGAATGACGAAAAGTACTTAAAAATGGGTTTAAATGGTTTAAAATGTAAGATAGCAAACATCTGGCATGGAAAAGACCGGTGGATCATTGGTCTTACTGCCTTGTGTAGCAAGTGCTAAGGAGCCATATGAAACCAACTACGTTGTATTCTTGCGTGACAGACTCATAGGGCTGCCTTGAAAGAGACGATCAATATTGCGCTGCTTTGAATGCATTTGTACTCTAGTTGCTCAACTAGATTCAATTAGACATGTTTAAAAACTTTGTTTCTGGTTGACATTAATATTGTCTCTTAAGATGTCTTAATACACAGCCTCCACAACAAATAATTTACAAGAACATTATATGCCTTCAATACATTTTTTGTACACCTGTGGAATAATATAATGTTTGATGTGGCCACCTAGTGGTTTGTATGATAAGTTTATACATTTCCAGTTTGGTAATGGCAATGTGTCTTAAGGCACTCGCTCGAGATCAAATGCTGCTGGGGCAGTAACATAAGCTCAGAGTACGCAATTGGCCAAGGCACCATCTGGACAAACATGTACAAGAGAAAACAGATAACACAAAATGACAATCCTCTCTGGATGATACAAATAGGTGTGTTCCCCTAAAGCTTAATAGCTGACAGTACACTTTATTTGTCTCCACAACCCAGACCCACATCAGTGAGAAAGTAGCAATGAAATCTACATTTAGTAGTCAATCTGTATGTGAACGAATTACGAGTGGTGTGTGGGACTGTGTTGACAAGATAAATAAAATACAACATTGGCTAAAAAGCTTTCAGGTGAGCATGCATATGGGTCTTAAACATAGATTGCATACATATCCTAGTCTCAAATTGAGCCTGATCATGGTGATAAGCTGTCACTGTGTATTTATTAATTCAAACATTTTACTTTTTCAAGTTTTTACTGCAAATAAATCAAGGGAATATCCCCCCCACCCCCCCTCCCCCTTAAACTTATCGCCTGGTTAAAAAATAGAATAAACAGCTACATTTAAGGTCTAACATGTTGAAAAAGTACCAGGAATGATACAGAAAACTGCTTGGCAAACTTGAGTTATCTTGTTTGTGAAATATGCTAGTATAGTACACTGTTGCTGCCATAGGGATAATTTCTGTACAAAAATGAATCTGTCAAAGCACATGGCATGGCAAATGTAATGTGTTTCTACACTTTCAAAATGGATTTACAATGGAAAACCCATGCAACAAAAGAGCTCATCTCAAAGATTTAGCTGAGAAGTCACATTGACGTTTGAGTTTTCAAACATTAACAAGAGGGCTATACTACGAAGCAAGCTAGAGCTACACAGGGTTTTTCAGCTCAGGCTTCATCTGTACTACGACGGTGGATATTGCTGTTCCGCAAGCCGCGAACTCTAGCAGGCTTATAACTGCGCATGCATGTCGCTCGTGGCTAGTCGAACGCTCAACTCTTCATTGAGACAATGCAGAAACATCAATCAATGGGACAAGTCAGTGCCATTTTAATATGTGCCGAAAAGTTATCTTGCAAATTCAGCAGGCTGTTGTGTGAAACAGACTTTTAGAAGTGCCGTCTTTATTTTTTGACTTTGGTGTGGTTATCAATACACTAGCACTTTTCTCTACTCCTATCAATACAATCAAGTTAAACAAAGGTTTTACTGTGCGTGAAGTTTAAAATGCATTTGTCATTACTAAATGTGTAATGGGATAGGTATTTTAACGTTACTATTTTTTAAACACACAAATACATTTGATTAATAAATATTTAAAATCAGTCGTCTTCCTCAAATTAAGGGGATGATGAGGGAATCGGATTTCATTGGTCCTCAACTCATGGCTCAGACACTTCATTCAGGATAAATGTAGTTTGACTTGAGTTAGCCTGCCCCGGAGTAGGTTAGATCTGAAGGATTCGTTGCCATAGCAATTTACCTGGCTAAAAGGTGAGCCACTTTTGTGGTACCGGTTATCCCAAGTTGAACTCAAGAGTTGACCAAAGTTACCTTTGTAACTCAAACTACATTCGTAGTATAGGGCTCTGGTCAGGTCGGTGTAAACTTGCTCACTAAACTTGATGAGGAACCAAATAGAGCCCCACAGTGGAGGTGTCATAATACCCATAAAACCTAGCGGTCAAACAGGGAAATGGCTCCAATCATTTTTCCACCATTTATATGGGATTTTAGAAACACTTAAAATACGGGCTGTGTTTCGTGTAGGCTTACCCTGGCGTGACGCTTTGATAACCAGGTAAATCTCTCTAGGACAAGGTAACTTTTATCAATATATTCGGTCCTATTTACTCTCAGATTCAAAAATGCTAATTAGCATCAAAGCAGACATCATGCAAAACTACAAATCCCTGCAAAACTACAAATCATCTCTAGCTGACACCTTTGCTAACAGGTATTGAGTCAATTTAAAATTGCACAAGCCAGTTCACAGAACTACCCATTTAAAGAAATGTTGCCAATGTATTAATTACTACATTTAGCTAACAGATAGTTAATCCAGAGATTCTTACCTTTGCCTCGAGTCGGCAGTCTCATCCAAATCATCATGGCATTTGTAGTTCTTTATGATAGCCACATTAGCAGCTAATTAGCGTTTCATTTTTGGGGGGTAAATACAGGCGGATATATTGATCAAAGTCACCTTGTCCTGGAGAGATTTACACGGTTATCAAAACGTCATGCCAGGGTAAGCCTACATGAAACACAGCCCTTATTTTAAGTGTTTCTAAAATCCCCTATGGGAAAAATGAATGGTGGAAAAACTATTGGAACCATTTGCCTATTTGACCGCTAGGTTTTATGGGTATTATGACTCATACTGTGGTACTCTATAAGGACATTTGGATTCTACCCTTGCACCTCAGGCATCATATGATTAGCTACACATCAACCCGACCTACTTTCCTGCCCTGGTAAAAAGATTCACAGAGTCAGAAATGCCACTCCCTCTGGTTCCGCTGAGAGATTCATTCGCTGTCCCTTGAGGAATATAGGGACTGGTGCAGGTCGTATTGTCACAGATTGTGCTTCAGTCTTTTAGCCTGAGCTGACCAGCCCAGTCCAGCCTACGTAATAATACAGGCCTTAGGAGTAGTTTAGTCCTGTCGCGACCCTTAACCCCTAGGAGTCTAGGACACGCGCAGACTCAGTCTGTCCATCCACACCACCCAGGGTGGTGTGATTCTCCTCCTTGGCCCGCTGCTTCTTGGCGAGGTCACTAGCGATGGCTAAAGCACCCCCCTTGAGGAAGCGGACAAAGTTCTCCCCAACTAGAGGCCCCATGGCGTACAGCCCCCCCTCCGACACCGACTCGTACGTGTATGGGTCAACTTCCAGGGGGTTCCGCCGGCACGTGATTGGCTCCTGGGGGTTGAGGCCGAGGGGCCGTCCGTTCTCAGGGAGGAAGGACAGGTTGGGGTGGGCGCCAATCAGCACCAGGGCCATGGAGACCTGGAGCACGGTGCGACGTCCGTCCTCCCCCTCCAGCACGCACTTCCTGTCAGGCTTGAAGGCCACCACCCGGTGTTTGGGCAGGCTGACGTAGCCTGGGTAGGAGCCAGAAGACATGGAGGCGGTGTTGTTTTCTTGTTGGTCCATCGGGGCGCCCGTTCCCCCAGAGCTGGGGAGGTCTTGGCCATGCTGCTGCTGCTGTTGCTGTTGCTGGGTCATCATCTGGTGCACCTTGTGGTACTCAGGGTAGAGGAGCTTGGGAAGCTGGTTGAAGATGAGGCCTGGGTCAGTGACCGAGCGCCGGAAGGCGTGGTACACAGGCGTGTTGAGGTGGTGGGCTGCCAGGACGGCATCGGCCGCTGTCAGCCCGGCTCCCACCACCAGCACCGGGTCCGAGGTGTGGTCCAGCTGGCCTCTGGAGATTGCTGCCTCCAGCTCCCAGAAGCTGTGGCACACGAAGGGGAGACCCTCGCCTTCCACGCCCAGACGGGCCGGGATGTCATGGGTGCCCGTGGCCAGAACCACGTAGTCTGCGCACACTGTAAAGGGGACCTCTGACGGGCTTCCTTCCCCCAGCTCATCAGCCTCCCTCTTCTGGGTCCCCTGGACTTTCCACAAGGGACGGCCGCTGGCCCCCTCGCAGTTCACCCTCTGTATGGAGGTGACGGTGGTGCCGCAGGCGAAGCTGTCCTCCAGGCCCATCTGGTTGACATAGTGCTGGTAGTAGGAGGCGATCTCGGCGGGAGTGGCCCTGTCGTTACGGACGTTCCTGAAACAAACATTTAAGTATGAGGGTCAGACACTGGTGTTTAGAATACACACAAAGGGCCTTATGGCCAAAACCTGAATGAAAACAACCTCATTCACCTGCCATTTGTCTTTGACACAAAAGCACATTTGTTTAGCCTCTATTTTCTCTAAAAGCCTAAGGTATTAATACTGGTAGCTGATTCTAGTTCCTAAGCGGCTCGACACAGAAAAACAAACAATAATTTTTCCTTTCAAAATAGAAATGTTCCTTTAAGTGAATACCACTGTTCAGGAACAGTGATAAGGTCAATCTGGAATGGCCACTTAAAGAAAAAAAAATTTTTTCACCAAAAACGGTATTTTCTTTTTTTATTAGTCCACTGTTACACTAAACAAAAATATAAACGCAACATGTAAAGTGTTGGTCCCATGAGCTGAAATAAAAGATCCCAGAAATGTTTCATAAGCACAAAAAGCTTATTTCTCTCAGATTTGTGCACAAATTTGTTTACATCCCTGTTAGTGAGCATTTCTCCTTTGCCAAGATAATCCATCCACCTGACAGGTGTGGCATATCAAGAAGCTGATTAAACAGCATGCTCATTACACAGGTTCACCTTGTACTGGGGACAATAAAAGGCCACGCCAAAATGCGCAGTTTTGTCACGTCTCCACCGGAGCTGTTGCCAGATAATTGAATGTTAATCTCTACCATAAGCCCCCTTCAACTTAGTTTTAGAAAATTTGGCAGTACGTCCAACCGGCCTCACAACTGCAGACCATGTGTAACCATGCCAGCCCAGGACCTCCACATCCGGTTTCTTCACACTGCGGGATCTTCTGAGACCAGCCATCCGGATAACTGATGAAACTGTGGATTTGCACAACCAAATAATTTCTGCACAAACGGTCAGTAACTGTCTCAGGAAAGCTAATCTGCATGCTCATTGTCCTCACCAGGGTCTTGACCTGACTGCAGTTCGGCGTCGTAACCGACTTCAGTGGGCAAATGCTCACCTTCGCTAGCCACTGGCACGCTGGCACATGTGCTCTTCATGGATGAATCCCGGTTTCAACTGTACCAGGCAGATGGCAGACAGCGTGTATGGACGAGTGGTTTGCTGTTGTGAACAGAGTGCCCAATGGTGGCGGTGGGGTTATGGTATGGGCAGGCATAGGCTACGGACAACAAACACAACTGCATTTTATTGATGGCAATTTAAATGCACAGAGATATCGTGACGAGTTCCTGAGGCCCATTGTCGTGCTATTCATCCGCTGCCATCATCTCATGTTTCAGCATGATAATGCACGGCGCCATGGCACAAGGATCTGTACAGGATTCCTGGAAGCTGAAAATATCCCAGTTCTTCCACGGCCTGCATACTCACTAGACATGTCACCCACTGAGCATGTTTGGGATGCTCTGGATCGACGTGTATGACAGCTTGTTCCAGTTGTCGCCAATATCCAGCAATTTCGCACAGCTATTGAAGAAGAGTGGGACAACATTTCACAGGTACAATCAACAGCCTGATCAACTCTATGCAAAGGAGATGTCATGCTGCATGAGGCAAATGGTGGTCACACCAGATACTGACTCGTTTTCTGATCCATGCCCCTACCTTTTTAAGGTATCTGTGACCAACAGATGCATATCTGTATTCCCAGTCATGCGAAATTAATAGATCAGGGCCTAATGAATTCATTTCAATTCACTGATTTCCTTATATGAACTTTAACTTGAAATTGTTTCCATTTTTGTTCAGTGTAATACAGTCCCAAAATGTTTTGCATGTCCGCATTCAAGATTTCAAGATATTGGACTTTCAAAAAGCAAAGTGTCACCTGCCGCAAAACACTTTGCTTCTGTGGCTTACTGAAAAAATACCAAAATATAGTTTTTTTGTGGATTTTTCCCTTAATGGTGCTGTAGCTTGTCAGAAGGAACCACCTGCGCTTTTCTCTCATCCACTCTTTAAGCTTCAGGCCGGGCAGTTCCATCCAGTTAGCCAGGCTGAGAGTGAGCATGGAGCCTTCCATCGCCTAAGAGACAAATACACAAACACCATCACCATTAACCACAAGGCTGAAAGTCACATATGCAAACTATGTTTGTGTCCCAAATGGCATCCTATTTCCTATAAATGGCATTACTTTTGGCCTGGGCCCAAAGTGCTCTGGTCAATGGTAGTGCACTATAGGGAATAGGGTGCGATTTGGAAAGCAAGCCTATGTCATCAGATGCATAGTTCGCCCACCCACCTTTTTCCCAGCAAGCAACTGTCTGCCATTGTCCCTTGTTTTACATGCCAATGTATCTGCGGGTATGCAAACTACAGGTGGTTTTACTAGCTACATACCATTAGTTAGCCATGACATACATGAGGGGGTACTTCAAGGGTACTCTGGGCAAAGCAAAATGTACCTGATGGTACAGTAACCGAAAAAGGTTGGGAACCTCTGTGCTAATGTACGTATGACCTTTTTTGGTTCTATTGTTCGTATGTTAAATGTGTGTAGTTTTGTCCTTGAACTGTTCTTGTCTATTGATGTTCTGTATTATGTTCTGTTTTATGATTTGTATAGACCCCAGGAAGAGTAGCTGCTGCTTCAGCAATAGCTAATGGGGATCCTAATAAAATACCAAAATACCAAATACCCAAGGCCATTTTCCACTTGACAAAAACAAACCTATTCTGAATGTATGCTAAAAATGTGTGATCATGACCCACTTTTTTACCCAATTGCAAATCACCGCCTGGCCCCTTCCCAAAAGCACCTTGCATGTATCTGAAAATGATTGGATTGTTATGAGCAACGTCACAAGGACAAGTTGGAATTCTTGGAATAACCAATCCTTTTTTAAGTGCCTAAAACTGGGGACCAGGGGGGGGTCAACATGGTATTGGACAATTATTATGGACTGGGCACTTACATGCCAGGCTCCTCCTGGGGGTCCTTTACCAAGCACCAGGTGTGGGGTGGCCCGCTCCGGTTCGTAGCGCCAAAGCAGGGGTGAGGCGTGGTCCAGCCCAAAGTCACTGTCGGGCAGGAGCAGGGAGTCAAACAGCACGGCCATGGGGTTGGAGGAGCGGCCCTCTAGTCCCTCACACAGGTACTCCAGGTCCTGCACACAGAGACAAACACATCAACACCTTAGTACAAAGACTGTGGTATGTAGGCCTACCTTCCTACTTATATCCATTTGTTTTAGGGTCTAGCTCATGGAATAACAAAATACCACCCTATATCAAGGACACCAATAGCTTTTTACTAAGCTTATAACATGGACACAACTTTATTTACAAAACCTCCTGTAGCCTACATACAGACCTTACTTAGGGCCACACTTAAATATCTCGACTGAGCATACATCCAGGTCATAATAGTTGAATAACTACCAACAAACCATACATCTTAGTGGTAAACACAAACAAAGACAGCATTTTACAGAGCATTTTAACTAGCACTTACAACCAGCCCGGGCAACTGTAAACCAACACCAACCAAGCTAGGTGTAAAAGGCGAGTTGTCACAGAGACATTGTGAAGACGGACGAGGTGTCATTCTTACCAACTCCAACAGTGAGAGGTGAGGCTGTTGATCCAGCTTGCCTTGCAGTAGTGGGTTAGGGTGAGTGCCCTCTTGGGACAGGTAGGGGGTGTAACCTGACAACAGATATGACAGGCAGATGCCCGAGGGGCCGTTGCCTAGGAGAGAGAGGGAAAGAGGCAAGTTCAGACAAGTTGAATAAATTAGTTTAACCCACTACAGTTTTTTCTGTTTATGTAGTGCCTTATATAATGCAATACATTATTTGGGGGCTCATACAGATAGGGCTTTGGCGGTCATGACATTTTGTCAGCCGGCATACAAGCCGCTGATGCACACCTTTGGAACATCTACATTTAAGAATGTCTAATAAATCAATTTAATATCCACCATCACAATAAAACCATTATTTATTTTAGGCAAAAAAAAAGCATGCGCTCTGTTCCTTGCCTCAGGCTGCACACCCTATTCTAACACCAAGTGATTATATTTTCCCCCATCAGACTATTCTCAACTGAATCTTGTCTTTACTAATAGGTCAAATAAATTAGTTTCGACTAAGAATGGGCAATTATAAAATTCACTCCATGAATCAACCACTGTTTGAGGAGCAAGCAGCCTCTTGCTGAACGACAGGTGATATTCCGCCCAAACTCTGTATGCCATGGGCTCTCCAACCCTGTTCCTGCAGCTACCCAGTGCTTCATTTGGGAAACCATGTGAAATCTGTTCGGGAACATCGATAGTAACATGTTTTCACAACGAAACATATTGCATTAAAAACTGTTGACAGCCCCTCTCTCTGCGCGCTCGAGAAAGGAATGAAGGAGAGGTGATTGAAACGCACGGTGGTGAGATATTCTGTAACTAAAAAAGGTCATGTGTCAGCCTATAAATTATGAAAATGTAAAAAAATACCCTATTACTAGGCTATTCAAAATCAAATTCACTATAAATGTTGCCTAACTCTGTAAGCCACCCAGCACAATCAATGAACCAACAGCATCGCTTAGGCCTATACGTTCTCTCCCAGACTCATGGATAGAAAGTTTGGAGCATAGCATAAGGTAACCAGTCCATCCAGTATGCATAATAATACAGTCCACCCTCAAAGGTGATTACTAGAATTTGTTTAATTTTGGAGTATAGGTTAGACCAATTTTGTACCAAAGACATCTTAAATATTTTTTATTTATTTATTTATAGGCTATGTATTGTATAACGGCACAATCATTATTTTAAATCTGTTTCTTTTTTCAGGCTCATTTATAGTCCTATGCATTAGCTCTAATATGCGTATGGGTGTTTTGAATTCATAATCACCTTAGAAAGTGCTGTCCATTTCGTTGTGTTAGGCTTTGAAACCTGTTGTTGAACTTCTTTCTTCAAATTGATCAATCACAGTGAGGTGAGTTTTAAAAGCATGATACTGTTTTGATGGTAAGTGTTTGATGCGATTTTCAATTGCATTGATGTCAGAGTGGTTAGAGGGACAATAGAGCCATGAGTACCAGGCCATTAGCGACCTGATGGCCGTTAGTGAGTTGGGTACTACCAACGCATGTCCGGAGTACATAATAGGAGATTACCGTGACGTGGAATTTTACTGCAGTAATGGCTTGTGACTGCTGGTGTGGAGGTAATATGGTCACAGCAACAGCCCTACATACAGAACGTTTGAGGGCTCATCAGGAATGTAAAAATCTGATATGTATAGCAGTCAAAAACATAGACAAAACTAAAATGTATTTCTATAAAAATGTACTTGGCTTTTAAGAATAGCCTAAAAAAGTTGAGTCATTTGGGATGGGTGTTCTTCTTATAAGGGGAGCACACTGTGCCATCATTCTAAGAAACGAGGTTCTTATGGCGTCGTTCCACCTCAAAAAGCACAAGAAAAGGGATTGACACCCACCATCTCAGATTGTTCTGAAATCGTAAAAAGCCACCCACCCACCCCATTCCCAACCCAACAATGAGTATACAGTATCAGGTCTATGTGTAGTATGGAGCTGTATTGTTTTTTTCACCCCCCCCCCCCCCTGCTCAGATAAAATATAAATTAAAGTTGTTAGGTTTATGTCCCATCCTACACCCTGAGAATACCAGGTTCTGCAATCAATTACCTTAATAATCAAATTATTTTTCAACAAAAATAATGTTGTAGGAATGCTAATCTTAACTGTTTCTACAGAAAGGTTTTAGAACAATCTGAGATGGTGGGTGTCATGGCTTGGAATTACCCTATGGCCTTGGGAGAGTCTACTAGGATCTAGGGCAAGAGAATGGTCACAAGATGCAAAGTCATGGTGACCATGCATCTTTTCACCCACCGTATGCAATTTGGAAATTGCCTCAGAAGAGAAACTCTGTTGTGCAAAGTGTTCCTTCCTTCCCTATAACACCGGTAGCAGTTTCATAATAGTCTCGTTACAAGTCCCTGAGAAGAACTTTGACCAAATTCCCTACTGTGTGTAGCAATTACTTGGAACCAAATCCGTTTTTATGGGCAAGTCTTTCAGAGCTGAATGTGTACAGTAACAGTAGCCCCAGTCTTACCAATGACAATGACTGGCAGAATCTCTCTGGGAAGGATATCTTTATCTTGCAGGTCCATGGCCACTGTATGCTTTTATCTGCAAGGAGAGAAAAAAAGGGACGTTAACCATTAGCCTTTCAATTCTTTCCCTGGTCTTCTAGTTCAGTACATTTCCACAGTCTACCAATGACACGTCCCCGTCCGACACCACTGCCAAGCTGGTTTCCATAACTGCGCATAAAATAAACAAAACACTTCAGTCTGGGCGAGACCAGCCTCCGTGTCCTCAAGCCAAGGTGAACGTGTCCAGATAAGAGAAGTTTAAATGGGGAACGGAAACTGCAGCCAAAACACAACTCAAATAGTTGAGGGAGAACACTTAAATGGCTGGGAAGGGTCCAATAGTGATCTCATTTAGCCAGGAAGAGGGAAAGGACAGCTTTAAGCATGTAAGGGGAGAAGTAGTACAGTAGAGGAGTGAGTAATGGGGGGAGGAGACAGGTCCTACCAGAAAGCTCTGGGACCCCTACTGGATCCTTGACGAGGCTTACAGTGAGCAGAGTGGTTATGCAACTCACTTTGCCGGTAAGCGTGACTCGGCAGAAAGTTTAAAGTGATAGCACAGCAAGCAGCTTTTATGTCATCTCAATCCGTCTGAGCCGGACTCACAATGCAAAGGCAACTTTGTGGACTGACTAAGATTGACTGTTACAGGCAGATGTTCTTTACCTTTTCTAGTGAGAGTCAGTGCAATATTATTTAAATACTTTAACCCATATTGTTTATATGCTTATATAGAACAGCTGGACAGGATTAAAGTGAGATATTAGCCTACCCAGGATCTAGGTTAAGATGTCCTTGTTAAAACTGTATTTCGTCAGACCACAACATCAATATTGACATTTCAAATGTTTCTTTCTTATATTCATCCCAAAGAATTACATTGTGCTCATTTGTCACATTACTTACTTACTGTCTGTCTGCCTTTCTGTTTGTCTGTACATGTGTGTCAGTCTGTCTGTACTTGTCCAAGTCAATGATCAACACTTGCATACAATTGCAGTCGTTACAGCCTACTTATTTTGTCTAGGTAGGTCATTCTGTGGGCGAAGGCTTACTTGTCTGAAATGGTGCAACTAATAATAACTAAATTTGACAAACTGCACCTCTCCTGTAAACGTCTCACCTAAAGGGTATTTTCCCGGTTAAATCAAAAATAAAACTTGACAGACGATTGTCTTTAAAATTTTGTTCAAGAAAGCAGCCATAACCAAACAAGTCAACTTTACAGTACATTTTTCTCTGTCCACAGCCTTTTCTATTCGCCTAGTATGATAGATAGGCCTGGGGTAGCCCAATGGTGATGGCGATGTTGAGTCGTTTCATCTTAACGTCCAAAGGGACTGTAAGCAGCCACTCATACACTCATATCCCCCATGGACCGGTTTGTACATAAAACATTCTCCATTCTGGCTGGAAAGGCGCCGATTTCCTCCTTAACTCTATTTAATAGCGAGAAGGTGGAAGAAAACTGGAAAAATATGCATACTTTCTTTATGAAACACAATTTTCAACCGCCTTGCTATGGTGGCTAATGCTACATCCTGACATTGCGTACAGCGTTCAGACCAAGGGTAAACAGACTGCTGCAACCTGATTGGCTGAACGCGATATGCAACATCCGGGAACAGCATTAGCCACTCTGGGATGGTGGTGGAAAATGGTGTTTCATAAAGAAAGTACGCATATTAAATTGAGTGAAGGAGGAAATCGACGCCTTTGCAGCCTGAATGGAGAATGTTTTATGTACGAACAGGTGCATGGGGGATATGAGTGTATAGTCGGCTGCATAGAGTAGGGACATCAGACTTTCAGCCTACTGCACAGACCATATGGACTCTCTAGTCTAGAGTGCCTGGTTACATTGTGCTTAGGAAAAAAAATGTAATCTCTAAAATGGTTAAACTAGTGAGAAATATGTGATTATTGAAAAAATCTTGGAGTTGGCTTCATTTACTATCATCCTAAATTAAGATATAGAATTATTTTGAAAAGTGTTTTATTCCCTTTTCCCCGGGATGGCAGCCTCCCGAAATCAACATCGGCCATTGCAAAATATAGATAGAAGCCTTTACAAATTCTCATCTAACCAACCATGTATAGGTATTTCTAGGTTTCCGTGAATAGTGTTAGTTTAAACAGCACATACACCACCCCCTCCTCTCTTTGGACGGTAAGATGAAACGACTTAATCACGCCATCTGCCGGCCTTTGTATCACCATACCATTTATGTAATCCTGTCAGACCATTACATGAGGATATGATATAACATCGATCGACTCAATGCGCTATAGACCTATGGTTATAACTGGTGTGCAGTGTTTACATGCTAGCTGAAAGAGCTTGCCAAATTAGCTCGTTAGCTTCGAATGAATCATGGGTCCTTTCTATATTGTAGACAATAATTGGCCATCCATGTGCAGCGTGAGACGTGCACAGTCCCCGCAACCAGTCCCGATTGTAGTTTCGTAGTGGACCATCTGACTGAAGCCTTCTAAATGGATTATAGCCTAATTAACGATAGATTAAAGTTACACACATAACCGGAATCCAACGCAAAACGTCTAGGCTGATAGCCTTGTTAAAATGATTTCGATTTCTGCTTTAATGCTGGGTTTCCGTCTACGGTTTCCACCGGCAACCGGCACATTGAAACCACCTCAAATTCGCTATTTACCATCAGACACATAGAGGCACAGCCTAGAAGACGTCGGAGAAAAGTTAAATGGGCCCAATAAGGAGAACGACATTTTTGAAATATTGGCTACAATGTTTCCACTTACCGATAGCTATGAAGACAAGGCTACCGCTGATATCCCTTAAACGTACTACCCTTGTTGAAAACCTTCGATTCCTTCCCCAGGCAGGTTCAACCGATTGCAATCTCTAAAGATATGCCTCAAATTCTCATCATGGGCGTTGTGCCCCTTTCGCCGACATGTGTAAAATGCTGCAATGTTACAGTTACACGCGATGGAAGAGCATGAACGACTTTTATCATTCTGATTTGCGTTGTGTTCACCGGCCAATCATGGTCAGCTTCTTCTTCGTCTTTGGGATTGGGTTGGTGGATCGCATGCAATTTTAAGGTGCATTCACTGCCACCTACTGTACTGAAGTGTGAGGCCAGTCACGGCCTACCTACATTAAATTATCTTCATTATTCCTGTTCCTAAATAATAATAATAATTCCACCACTAACTAACCCTACACCTATATATCACTATTTCATAAAAATATTAAAATCACCACCCCATTAACTATTCTGCATTAAAATCTCGTACACCAAGGTACTTTTACATTTTACATTTTAGTCATTTAGCAGACGCTCTTATCCAGAGCGACTTACAGTTAGTGAGTGCATACATTTTTTTCATACTTCTCTGCAACTGCCACCTACACTCATTAAGAACCCACTACCCCATTCCACTACTTTGACCCTATCTGCTCCTGCACCATGCCAACGGCCTGAGAGGATGGGACACCATCCCTCAACACACCCTGTAACTCTTCTGAAGTCAAATCTCGTATACCCAAATATAGTGGCATGCGCAAGTATTCACCCCGCTTGGGATTTTTCCTATTTTGGGGGGGTTTGTATCATTTGATTTACACAACATGCCTACCACTTTGAAGATGCAAAATATTTTTTTTATTGTGAAACAAACAAGAAATTAAAATAATAAAAATAAAAACTTGAGCGTGCGTAACTATTCCCCCCCCCAAAGTCAATTCATTGTAGAGCCACCTTTTGCAGCAATTACAGCTGCAAGTCTCTTGGGGTATGTCTCTATAAGCTTGGCACATCTAGCCGCTGAGATATTTGCCCATTCTTCAAGGCAAAACTGCTCCAGCTCCTTCAAGTTGGATGGGTTCCGCTGGTATACAGCAATCTTTAAGTCATACCACAGATTCTCAATTGGATTGAGGTCTGGGCTTTGACTAGGCCATTCCAAGACATTTAAATGTTTCCCCTTAAACCACTCGAGTGTTGCTTTAGCAGTATGCTTAGGGTCATTGTCCTACTGGAAGGTGAACCTCCGTCCCAGTCTCAAATCTCTGGAAGACTGAAACAGGTTTCCCTCAAGAATGTCCCTGTATTTAGCGCCATCCATCATTCCTTCAATTCTGACCAGTTTCCCAGTCCCTGCCGATGGGAAAACATCCCCACAGCACGATGCTGCCACCACCATGCTTCACTGTGGGGATGGTGTTCTCAGGGTGATGAGAGGTGTTGGGCTTGCGCCAGACATAGCGTTTTCCTTGATGGCCAAAAAGCTCAATTTTAGTCTCATCTGAACAGAGTACCTTCTTCCATATGTTTGGGGAGTCTCCGACATGCCTTTTGGCGAACACCAAACGCGTTTGCTTATTTTTTTCTTTAAGCAATGGCTTTTTTCTGGCCACTGTTCCATAAAGCCCAGCTCTGTGGAGTGTACGGCTTAAAGTGGTCCTATGGACAGATACTCCAATTTCTGCTGTGGAGCTTTGCAGCTCCGTCAGGGTTATCTTTGGTCTCTTTGTTGCCTCTCTGATTAATGCCCTCCTTGCCTGGTCCGTGAGTTTTGGTGTGCGGCCCTGTCTTGGCAGGTTTGTTGTGGTGCCATATTCTTTCAATTTTTTAATAATGGATTTAATGGTGCTCCGTGGGATGTTCAAAGTTTCTGATATTTTTTATAACCCAACCCTGATTTGTACTTCTCCACAACTTTGTCCCTGACCAGTTTGGAGAGCTCCTTGGTCTTCATGGTGCCGCTTGCTTGTTGGTGCCCCTTGCTTAGTGGTGTTGCAGACTCGGGGGCCTTTCAGAACAGGTGTATATAGCAAAGGGGGTGAATACATATGCACGCACCACTTTTCCGTTATTTATTTTTTAGAATTTTTTGAAACAAGTTATTTTTTAAATTTCACTTCACCAATTGGGACTATTTTGTGTATGTCCATTACATGAAATCCAAATAAAAATCAATTTAAATTACAGGTTGTAATGCAACAAAATAGGAAAAACGCCAAGGGGGATGAATACTTTTGCAAGTCACTGTACTTTTCTGCAGCTGCCACCACAACTTCTATTTTCTGTGATTTACATTCAATTTCTGCAGTACAGTTGATAACCATTGCTACGAAGGCTAAGAAGCCAGCCTTACTAAAACATAAATCACTCATTGCCCTATCCCTCTGTGCTGACACAAATCTACTACTGACTGAGTTCCTCTCTGGGTTCATCCTCCTCTACTTTCTTCACTGCCTCAGCATAGGATATCTTCTGCACTACTCTGACTCTGGCCACTTCAACCTGCCTCTCTCATCATGGTCAACTGGAGATGACGCTTGAAGTGACTATAGGCTTTCTCCTTGATGATGCAATCTGCGCTATCTGGGATCCTTGGGACGTCCCTTCCCCATTGAAGTTGACATTTTAAATGCTA